TATTGTGCAGAGCACAATATCAAAGGGTGCAGAGCTGCTCATGGTGAGGGAAGGACATGCACTTGCAAACCGGGACATGCACCATCCACCGTGAGCAGCCGCGCTGGCTGGTCCAGCACTGTGCTGGGTACAGGGCTGCACGGAGGCTGAGAAGCTTCTCCAGCCCCCTGAGGACTGATTTAATACTCCTGCTAATTTGATTTGGGCCTGCAAGTCTTCAAAGTATGTTTCTGTTCCCTATTAACCAGATGACCACTTTTGTTTATGAGGCACTTAGGCAGTTAAAGACCTGTGTGCTCAGGCTGGCTGTATGTGAGAAATGAAGGCAGTGCACGGTGAAAAAGCAGGAGCCTTGTGTCCAAATTCACAGGTCACTAAAGCAGAGTAGAAGAGTGGAAGCAGCAGAAGCTGTTACAGTCCCTGCCTTCTTCCAAGCTGCCTCCTAATGCCTCTGTTCAGCTGCTCATAAAGTCTGTGGGGACTGACTGATTTTAGCTCCAGCAGGTGGACTCTTGGAATCAGTGGCTTTAATGCAAGCTGCTAGGTTCAGTAAGTGATCCTACAGAAGTCTGAATAAAGACTGATCCTGTCCAGTTTGTTTCTCTCTATTGTTTGCAAATGCAGGGAACAGCTGAAAAATAAGGTTGCAGTAGAAGAAAAAAAGAATGCAATTCAAGGAGGAATATATGTTTTTTAACTCATTCTCTACAGGTAAGAAGAGGATGTTTATTTTCTCATAATGATGGAGGACTCCTCATGTTCACGCTCTTGTCCAAACTGTCTGCATTGTCCAAATTTTGCCTGTTGCTCAGGACCACATCTGAAATCAGTCAGGTGGTGAAGCTGGGTGAGAAAGGAGTTAAATTCTGGCGCGTCAAACTTCAGCCATCTTTTGTCCAGTAGAGCAGAGACATAAGAGCCCCGACCGTTCCTAAGGATGAAGGGATCCTCACACTGTTTGCTGCCCACCAGACTCTGTTCCTGATGTCACTCCGGAATAAGGTTCACCTCTGCAGGAGCTGCTGTTTCCTGGCTTTCTGGAGGCTATGTTTGCATAAAGCATTTGGATAGAGGAAAAGGTGAGTTACAATGTAAAGTTGCAGGGTACCAAAGGATAAGAAAAACAGCAGAAAAAGCTGACTGCAACAAATAGTTCTTGCTGTATGTAGCAAAGGCAATATGTGTGGGGGCTACCTCACACAGAAAGTGATTTGAAGCTGTTGAACAGACTTTGTCTGCTTTTTAATGTCTGGTAGAGTCCTGGCAGTCTGCACTGCATCTCACTAGGGAATCCAGACTACTAAGCAATGATGAGAAAGGAAGGGAAAAAAAAGACTGAGGTATTGAGAAACTGATTTAGCAAAATTAGAGGTAGACTTCAATTTATGATTTGGAAGCCAAAGAGAGCTCTCCAGGTGATTGAGCAAGCTGCCTTCAGTTGCAGCAGCTCTCCTTACAGCTTCGAGTGGCCAGGTTCTAGATTGCTTTGGTCTGTAGTCACGTATAAGCACTCCCTCTGGAAATTACTGAAAGCAGCTTGCCACATCAGCTCACAAGCTTATAAAGTTATGTTTTAATTGTGTTATTAGACTTCTGCTTTTTTTCTGTTTACTTTCCAGATTCATCTGTATCAAGCTGTGCTGCAACAGGAATGTGGTTCCTTCTGAATTGTGCTGTTTATTTGCAACAGAACATGTAATGAGAATGGGTGAAGCCCACTGCCCAGAAGCAAGGTGAAATTTATCTTACTCTTTCTATTAAAGGACTGAGGTTGAAGGTGCAGTAGAGAAGTATTGTAGAAATGTGCTTTAGTAGTAGAGAAAGAATTTTGTTCCTGTTTCATATGGTATAAAGCACCCAGGCATAGTTTGATGGACGGGGGTTATCATCCCCATCCTCACCTTAGCTATTTTCCTCCTTTACCAAGGAAGAGACTTGTTTTGGTGGGTTGGCTTAGGATTTCCAATCAGAAAGGTAATGCTAAGCAGTTGAAAAAATTAAATGCACTCTTTTGGATCTGGGACCAGTCAGACAGAATTACTATTGGGACTGGGGGTAGGAGGAGGAACTGCAGATGTCACTGCATTTTTCCCTTATAAGCACTCTATATTACCTTTGAATAAATTACTGAATTTTCTTTTTAATTATGTTTGATCACAGTTGCATTATGATCTGGTTTTTGTGACAGTCCTACAAGAAAGAAGCTCCTGCTCTATCTCTAACTTGAATACATAGGTGCCTTTAAAAAGATATCAGTGCTTGCCAGATATTATTACTGAAGAGTATAGGAGATAATGATGCTGTTGCTTAGAGTGAGAGACAACACTGAGCCCTCAAACACTTTCAGTAGCCATTGGTGCATTCAGTTCTAGTGTGGTCTCAGTTCTTCATCATTTCATTCTGCCATCACTCACAGCTGTATGACATTACTAAAGCAACACAGAGGTGAGCTCTAGGGTCTTTTTGGAAGTAGAATAGATCACTGGCTTGTTAATAGAAGTAAATAATTAAATTAAATAAATTATTAAATTGACGTATAGTATTAATATATAGTATTCCTTAGCCCACACGCACCCAAATTCTTATGTGTGCACATTTAATTTAGATTCTGAGGGAAACTGTTACTACACAGAGAGTCATGTATAAAATGTTGAACAGGAAAAATGAGACCTACCGGCTGTTACCTGAATGAACTTATTTGGCGTGAATATTTCTAGATATTTTTAGTTTTCCTACAACAACGAATGATCCTTGGCTCTTTGATCAACTTGATATTACAGCAAAAGAAGAGAAGGAATAAAAGAGAAAGAAACTGCCATCTGTCATCTTTGGCTAATTATTTTGAGCCTTACCTTGTTTTATAGACTGCAGCACACTATTTTAGGACTTATTAACTGAGAAGTCTACTCTGCAGAAGTATAAATGAGTTCACCTCTAGCAAGCTCCCCACTGCTCAGAATGCTGTGCCGTCATTTCATACAACTTTCTTCCCAACCTGATGTCATGATTTATTAGCTCAGCTGATTTTATTTTACCCTGCTCCCTCCACTGTCCTGGCTTTTCAATGTAAGACTCTGTTTTGTTGCCTTTTTTTGTGGGTGTATAGGGAAGGAGAGGGAACAGAATGCATTCCCCCAAATCCTTGTTAGCAGTGCAGCACCTTGGTATCAGCTCTTATGTAGTTCTTGGAGAGAGACAGTAAATGAAGGAGCTCTCTGCAAGTGTGGAGGGACCAAATCAGGCACCAGATAGTCATCTGAAAAGATGCTTGCATTATTCATGTGAAAAGCAATACACAACTTGCTTATTCAGAAGGGACCCAGGAGCCCTCTCCTTCCACCCACCCTGCAGACACAGCACCCCAAAGAAGCATGCAGAGGGAGGAAGCAGCTTCATTACTTTCCCCAAAATTCCTCTTGTGCCCAGAGATGTGCATTACCTAGATACAGGCCACATTGTTGTTGTTTTTTCCTTATAACTGGACTACTTCAGCATTCTGGTTGAATTGAGACTTGTTTGTTTTTTTTTTTAAACTGTCTTGCTGAATTTATTGTTGCTTTCACATTCATTTTTTTAAAGGATAAGGTGCATTGTACTTGATAAAATATCCTCATTTTGTAAATGCTGACAATTGTCTTACTGTCTTTCATTATTACACACAAATGTGGTGTTTTTAGTTCCTTCAGAAAGCTAATGTCTTTCAATATAATTGGAAAGCAAGTTTCCAGATAATTTTTTTAAACTCTAGATATGCTGAAACAAGATGATTAAGATTTGAATTAGTCAACAGGAAAGAAACAAGTGAGGTTTCAGGAAATACTAAAATCTCTCTTAAAATTTATATCCTTGTGAGCCTTCTAAAAAGTGGTGAAGGAAATGAAAGTCATCTTTCAATGGCTGTTTTTTATTGTATTTTTTAATTTTTTTTGGAAATGGCTAAATAGCCTGAGCTGGAATCCTGGGCTTGAGCATTTTGAGCTTTGGTATACTTGGAGATAAACTGTGGTAACGTCCTCTGTAAGAGCAAACTTATTTTCTTTTGAAAGAACTGCAAGTGGACATTGATGGTAGTAAAGGAGAGTTATTTTATTTTTTCTTAAGAGCCCTACATAAGGGATACTAAATGTCATTGCTAGACTCTGAACTTCCTCACAAGCACCCGTTTTAAAGCACCATATCAGATCAAACTAAGTGATTACCCTGTGGCTGTGTGAATTTGTTCTGATTTTAAGAGACTTCCAAATATTCAATCAAATGGGAATCAGCCTGTCTTTAGTTCTTTGTCTAATTAATTTCTTACTTCGAAATATATTTCAGTATTTCATATGGTATTGAAAACTAGAAGTTCAGTGAATGATATTTTTTCTACATACCTGCTACTTAAAGTCAAGCAGCAAAGAACAAAGAGTATATCCAGAAGAAAAGTAGAAAAGAGTCTAAGCAAAATTAAGAAAAATGTGTCATTACTTAAACTTATACTATGTGCTGCACAGGAATATAAACTAGAATCAGTCATAACTCCTCTACCCTTTCAACATCTCTCTACCTATAGCATTGAAAAAATCCTTACTTCAGAAGACTGAAGATTAACATAAACCTGATAAAAGAGAGAGAATATATACATACCACTGATTAAGAAAGGCGGGTGAGCTGCCCAGATTACTGTGGCATCAACGAAATACAGTGCATCTGTGTTGTAAGAACTACCCCATCCGAAAAACAAATAAATAAATAACTGGTAGTAGGCACCTGTGGATCTTGCATCTTCATAAACGACTTTCCATTTTAATACATATTAATAAACATTATTACAGGCTTGGCTGAGGCAAGCATCTAGAGTACTATAAGAAACAGATCTGCTGTTATTTCTCTGGTTCAGAAAACATAGTGCAACTGAACGATGAGAGACCACACACTGACATGAAGAAATGAAACATTTTTACAGACATCAGAAAGTTAGAAAGAAAGCATAACTTCACAAAACATCACTTATTAGTTACCTGTCCCAGAGAGTAGGTGAAGATTTTGCGAGCCTGCCCTGGAGAATTCTAGGTTGCCATAGGCAGGTTGGTACCCAGGAATTTCGTACCCTGCAGCATGAATAGAGGATAAACCATGGCTAGGTATGGCTCATAAGACATACGAGTGATAACCTAGCTAGATCTGCTGCATATTAGTAGGCTACGGCTTAATTTGGTAGTAATTATTATTCAGGATATTTTACTTTAAAGCAGTGTTAAAACTACAAAACAAGGTGATGTTACAGCACACATATTTAGTGATTTTCTTGTACAACTATTGGAGGTCAGAATAAGCATTTATAATTGACCTTACGGCTGTAAATGGTTGCTACTCCATTTATTTTACTGGAGAAGAATTTCGTCTTGAGAATTGTGAATCAAGCCCTAATATTTTTGCATTGTAAAAACATCAGATTACACAAATTTATGCTTCCTTGAAAAAGGGTCAGCAAAATTCCTTCTGAGCACCATAGTGAGAACATGTTTAACAGTATTAATTAAATCTGGGCTGAGGTTCAAGTTCCACATACCAGGTTCCATGCACATCTACCAACAGCAGAACAATAGAAGCAAAATATTTGCTGGAAATGGAAAGCACAAAAAGAAGCAATTTGAACCAGCAATATAAGCTATGAATAACATGCAGCAAAAGCAGATCCAGAGCCCAGGAGAAGGCCAACGAGGCAGGCAAATTAGCAATGGGAACTGTTGCTCAACATTAACATCAAGCAATGCTGGTAAGATTCAAAACACTCTGTTCAGACATTAGTCAAGCAAATTCTCACTCAAGTCAAAAGTGTTTTTCCTGAGTAAAATCTGAGTAAGGGCTACAGTCTTTGGCCACGCAGAATACTTCACACAGTATTTCTGTGTTCCTTTGCGATATCAGAAATGCAACATAACATGTCTTGAAAGATAAATTCAATAAAATATCAGATTTTCCTCACTAAAATGTATTCATATTTATGAACCAGAATTTTTTTGCGGAAGTTTTCCCTGTGGCCAGTGATCACTACACATGCAGAAAATGCTACCTTCCAGTGTCCACAATCAATTACTAGTGGGTACTGCAAAGTATGGAGCTTCTGGACTGTAAACACGTCTTTACATACAGGACATATTTCAGGTACAACGTGTGCTGCAGAGAGCAGCAGAGAATTCAGTGTTTATGGGATAGGATAACTCTGCTGAGTCTCTTGCCAGTGCTGTAAGTTCACCCAGGGATCGCGTTCATGTCAAGAACCACCAGCAGCAAGATAATGCTCTTTATAGCACTCTGGGGAAAAGCACTAAGTGAATTCCAGCACATTGCTCTAGTTGTACATTCACTGAGTTGTTCATTGAATAAGGAAGGAACATTTAAGTATCTTCTAATTTCTTCTGTACCAGGCTTGGATTAAGTATGTGAAGAGATGCAGGGGTGATAGAAAAAAATGAGATGGCCTGAGGTTTAGGTGTTGTCATCACATGAATTTATAGCAATATTAGCTTTAAAATCAAAGTGGTGGTGAGAATAGATCTCCGCAATCTGTAATACCTCAGTATTGTCAGTTCTTCAGTGAACTGCCAGTATTACTTTGGATTACATGTCTCTCACATCTTTTCTGATGTTCTCAAACTGCAAATCTCATAATCAATAGGTGTATGCTTATTTAATACATAGTAGTTCTGTGGTGCTTCACTATGTATTTTCATTCTCAACTACAGGTGTCAGGAAAACAGCCTATTATAGGAATACAGATTTGAAAAAGCTCTCTACCTGGCTCTCCATTTTTTTATCTGCTTATTTTCAGGCACAGAATTTTAAACTGCTCCTATAAATCAGGGTTTTGAAATTTCCATTTGGGAAAAAAATAAAAAAAAAACCAGTAAATTCAGCCACAGGTTTTTCCAAAACCACTGGTTTTTTTTAAACCAGTGTATTTTGTATATTTCTCACACTTCACTAAGCAACCCTCCACAGCAGTTTTCTAATGAAATAACAAAACTTGCTAACACTGAGACAGATGAAATGAAAACACTGGGCTTTTCAAGCCCACAAAACTAATTAAATAGGGGCTCTTGAAGCAGGGAAGCCATCTGAACAGGGAAAAATCTCTGCTGTCCTCAGATCCATTACCAGCTCTCTTCCATGTAGTCTTTATCTAGCCTATCTCATACCTTTTCCAGATATATAGCAAATAGCTTTGCTATAGATAATCTTGACAAAACATTTTAAGGCTATTGTGAAGTAAGATGTTTCAACAAAGGGAGGAAAGGTGTGAATTTCACTTTAGCTGTTTGCTCAGTGTTTTTCCTGACATCTTTTCAGTACCGAATCCTGTGTAATTGCTCCATAAATGAGCTAATGCAGAGAAATGCTCTCCACTCTAAATATGGTAGATCTTTCCAAAGCTACCCAAAGGGATTTAATAACATCCCATCTCAGATAATCAGTGTCGGTTGTGGTTAGTCTAATCACATTCTCATGTGCAAGGTTGAAAAATAATGAGTAACTGTAAGATTTATTTATTTACCCAACATACAAACACAAAAATTAATTTTCATCTTCTGCAGTTTACATGGGATACTGTTTTATCATTGGAAAATCAGAAATAAGCTAAACATACATTCATTTTTGTCTAAAGCAACTGTAAATTTTAAAGGAAAAGAAATGGAGAAAACTGACAGTTCTGTTACTGTGTTGTTTCTGCTCTGCAACAACAGTTGTAAGAAACTGATAAGTACTGCAAATAATATATAAGCCTATTTAGAAAGAATATTTTATAGTTGCAGTATACAGGTAGTACTTTACTGCAGGAAAAATATCAGTCCTCAAAACCGGGTGATAAAATATTTCAGGTTATCAAATTTTAAAATTACTTTTTATTATGCTGTAACATGACAAAGTAACTCATCTTCCTCTTTTTTCTACAGAGCTTCTCTTATTCCTCACTGATGTGATTGAGACTGACTCTGGTGTCAAGTGAGGCTCGAATTTGGACATATTGTTGTAATAGTCTGTGTTTCCTTGTCTTGTCCTAGAACATGTAGTATGTTACTGCAGATATTGTCTGTGGCTCATCTGACAGTAATCATAGAGGATACTTACAGAACTATAACCACTTGGGGAAAAAAAAAAAAAAGTTGATTTCTCAGTGAAACATGATCAACACTTTATTTCACTGTCTAGAGAAAAACAATGAAAAATTCATCAGCTCTGGTGGCAGATGGTGATTGATCCACTGTGCCTGAAGTAGACTCATACAGACCGTTTTGTCTAAGAAATACTGTTACAAGAAAAGTAAACACAATGCCCCTTTTCCTCTCCTCTCTATATTTCATAGGTGAGTAAAATTTATAGAATCTGATACATATAAAATTCCCTGGTTTGTGTACTACTCCTCAAAACCACTGCTCTTTTTATGGTAGGTGTATTAGGTTAGTCTGATCAGGTTTTGGTAGCAGAGGGGCTATACAGGTGGCTTCTGTGAGAAGCTGCTAGAAACTTCCCCCATGTCCAATACAACCAAAGCCAGCCAGCTCCAGGATGGACCCGCCACTGGCCAGAGAGAGAAGGGAGATAGTGTGTGGGAGATACAACTCTGCAGACACTGAGGTCAGTGAAGAAGGAAGAGGAGGTTCTCCAGGCCCTGGAGCAGAGATTCCCCTGCAGCCCATGGCGAAGACCACGGTGAGGCAGGTTGTCCCCCTGCAGCCCATCAACGTTGGGGACAGGAGTTGCAACCCCATGGGGGACCCATGTTGGAGAAAGTTGTTCCTGAAAGACTTCATACCATAAAAAGGACCCACACTGGAGCAGTTAATGAAAAACTGCATCCATGGGAAGGACTAACATTGGAGAAGCTTGTGGAGAACTGTCTCCCACCGGAGGGACTCATGCTGGAGGCAGGGGAAGAGGGTGAGGAGACCTCCACCTGAGCAGGTAGGCCCTCCCCCTGTGAGGAGGAGGTGGCAGAAAGCGTGTGATGAACTGACCACAACCCCCGTTCCTCCCCGCCTGTGCCACTGAGGGGCAGGAGGCAGAGAAAATGATGAGTGAAGTTAAACCCAGGAAGAAGAAATGTGTGGGGCAAGGTGTTGTTGTTTCCCCTTATCCCACTCTGATTTGATTAGTAACAAATTAAACTAATATACCCAAGTCTGTTTTTCCCATGGTGGTAACTGCTGACTGATCTCCCTGTCCTTGTCTCAACCCATGAGTCTTTTTTATATTGTCTCTCTCCTGTCCAGCTGAGGAGTGATAGTGTGGCTTTGGTGGGCATCTGGTGTCCAATCAGGGTCAACTCATCACAGTAGGATAAACATGGTTACTTTGTAAACACCCATGCAAATTTGAATATTTTTTTTTTCTGAAATACTGGGTTTTTTCAGAAGTTAGGGAATCTCATAGTTGTTTCATTTGTGAGTGGAGGACTTAGTGAATAGACTTTAGCAGTGTCTGAGCAAAAGCCACCCCAAATCTTGCATCTGGTAAAGGGAGAAATATTTTCTGTTGAGCAAAAAAGAATGTATGCTGGTCTGATTTGAGCTTAAACTCAAATGATTCTATGAAGGGGATTTGAAAGTCACCATTAAACTGGGTTGTCGCTGTTATGATTTCTGTACTTGCCCAATTTAGCACTATATTACCCCAGTATGAAGAAGTTAAGCACAAGAACCGCTATTTTTGCTTCTATTAACACCATGCAGTTATTTTAAGGGCATGCTTTTATAAACACTAATATCCCTGGATGAAACACTGACAGAACAAGATGGAAGAACCTCAGGGTCACCTTGGAACATGCTGTCACGACTCTACCTCCACACCCCGTCCTCATTGAACAGGCACGTGGCAATGATGCTAATTTAGCATCATAGACTTGCAAGATGCTGTCAGCTGCACTTGCTTCCTACTTTCCTACCAGTCGTGCCAATGTAGGTAACTGGATGTCATCTCCATGGAACAAAGGCTGGAGCTAATAAAAATGTCAAACCCTCCACCTTCTGTGAGGGGGTGGCAGTTCTATTCCTGAAGTTCCCTAGAACTGTCTATGACCACAGCATTAAAAAACGTAAAACTGCTGCAGGGACTGCAATAGCATGTCCTAATGAATATTTTAAATATAATTCCCAGATTGAAAAGCAGGGTCCTATGGAATCATGCATCCCCTAAGTTGGGGCAATCTGCAGGGACCAGACCAGCAGCTCCCACAACGCAGACAGAGATGCTAATGAGTATGTGGGAATATAAGGAGGCTGGGATGATCCATCGAGCAGAAAAGGGAGGAAGATGAGGACACCTATTATCAGTGAAGTTAATAACCATTTTCTGATGCTATAGGAATAGCGAGATGTTGCTCTTCCACCTCAGCTTAACATATTTTAGGGAACAGTGTTTCACTCTGGCTTGGACACCTCTCTGTATCTTTCTGATCAGCCATAAAAATCCACCCTTTTTCCTCATCCCGTTTCTTTTTTTTGCCCCAAGCTCCCGTCACAGCTGCTCTTCATCTGCAGCTTTGCTCGTCTGTCTGGTCCTCATCTAATATGTTCCTTGTGTGGTCACTGGCTCCTCTTGGTGCATCAGCTGCTGCAATGCCAAAGGTGAAAGGCCACTCTTGGGAAGCCAGACACTATAGCAAGCTTCATCTGCCAGGAAGAGCTAGGGACGAAATCTTGTTCAGTCTCAGAACTCTCATTTAATTGGTTGAACATATATAAGTTTTTGTTAACAGATTGAACATAGGTAAGGTTTAATAATGTATATAAGATAAGATAATAAAATATGACATCATATAATG